AAAATGATAAAGAGAAATAGGATTTGCAGAGGGGATATTTGAAACGATGTGATTAAACTAAAATGGAGAACAGCTGATGATGTAATTAAAGAAAACAAAATGAATAAAGATTGAATATATAAAAATATATATAATATGTAACTAGACACAACTAGACACAAGGACAGTTTTTCCCCTGAACTCTGCTAAACAAATAATTCCCTCAACACTGTCCAACTATTTACGAAGTCTGCACTACTATTACTATTAATCTTTTCATCACTCCTTATCACCCTCCCAGTTGTGACTGTAACTTTCTCACTTGTATCCTTACGATTTTTTAAAATAAACTTCACTGAATTTTATAACATTAAAAACATAAAAATATATATATTTCAATAACAGCTGTTTGTAGTGCTTATCGTATAACAATCTTTTGTGCGATATTTACAAATATTAATTTGTGCATAATTATATTCTTATTCTATCTTTATTCTATATTTTATAATTACTTATCCTTAATTTGTCTCCGATCTATCCAGCTATACCATTGTTCCCATACCTTATAAAATATTGAAGATTCCTTATCTTTTAAACCCAGCGTTAATTTATCAATTTCAGCACAATTCATAACTTTTTGTATAACCAGTTCCTCTATAGGTATATATGGCTGTTTCCAATATTGGGCAAAGGTAATTCTGGCAGCAGTCAGCATGTGTAATAATAAGTATTTTGTATTCTTTACATATTTTTTTTGAAGATCCCCAATAGGAAGAATTCTGGTTCTAGGTCTAATTGTTCACTGGTGATTTCCTGTAGCCAATTTTGAATTTTGAGCCAGTATTTTCGACCACCATATGTTCCCTCTTTTTTTTATATATTTCCAACATATGGAACTCATTTTAGGGTACATTTTCACTAATCTCGTAGGGGGTAAGTGCCACCTATAGAACATTTTATATGCATTTCCTTTGTATGTTGCTGATTTTGTTAATTTGTGATTTCTTTTCCATACAGTCTCCCAATCTGATAACTTTATGTTATGACCAATATTTTGACCCCATGCGATCATGTATCCTTTCACTACTTCTTCTAATTCTACTTCTAGGAGACACTTATACATTTTGGTAATATTTTTTTTTATCTGTGCCTAATAAAATTTTGTCTAACTGTTGAGGTTTCAAGTATATTCCATACTCCTTTACATCCTTTTTATATCAACTTTGTATTTGAATATAAGCCCACCAGTCTACTTGTAGCCCTTGTTCTTGGAGCTCCTGTATTGTTTTTAAATTTCCATTTGTATCCAATAAGTCTTTATATTTTAACATTTTGTTCAGATCTGAATTATTTGGGTGGATCGTCGCTTCCATTGTAGATAGCCAAACTGGGATTTTTATATAGTGTTTCTTTTTAACTTTGATCCAATTGTATATCAACGAATCTCTAATCAGATGTCTGTGGAAATATTTTTGTTTAGTGGGTCCTATGTCCCAAAGAAAGGCATGCCATCCCCTCTGAAGGTCATGACCTTCTATAGCTAATATTCTTTTATTCTTTAAATTAATCCAATCTTTTAGCCAAACTAATGATGCTGCACTATAATTCCCAATTTGGCAATCCAAAACCTCCTCTGCTCTTCAAATCTTGTAGTAATTTCATTTTTATTCTAGGTTTTTTACCCTGCCAGATAAATTTTGCTGTCATTCTTTATCCTTACGATTTTTATTGACTGTTTCCTAGTGTGATTTGATTAAGTGTTGTACCTTATGATTCTGGACTCTTGATGAATGTCTCTTTTCTTTTATGTACACTAAGAGCATTTGCACCAAAGACAAATTCCTTGTGTGTCCAATCACATTTGGCCAATAAAAGAATTCTATTCTATTCTATTCTATTCTATTCTATTCTATTCTATTCTATTCTATGCTAATTTCTATTCTATTCTATTTTATTCTATTCCGAGATATATATTATATAGTCTAAGATGTAAGACAAAAAGATATGTCAAAAACGATTTTACCATTTCCAATGTTTTTAATGTATTCAATAAAAATAAAATTTGTAAAAAAAAAGTATTAAGGTGAGGGACATGCCCAAAGGCAAAAAAAAAATTACTGGCCTAAATACAGACCGACCCTGGGGTCAGTCTGGAAATATCAAGGGAGCAGCCTGTGGTGCCTCTGGTGGCTAAAACAGACTGTGTGCCCTCATGCCCCGTTTTCACCCTCCAGTGCCTTCTGTACAACTCTGCTGGCTGAAACTGGGCCCAAAACTGGGCTGAAAAACGGACTGAAATAGGGTCCAAAATGGGCCAAAAAATGGGCTGAAAAATAACCCGAAAACAGGTTGAAAATGGGCCAAAAACAAGCTGAAAATGGGCTGAAAATGGGCCAAGAACAGGCCAAGACAAGCCAAAAACGGGCCGAAAATGGGCTGAAAATGTGCCACAAATGGGCCAAAAATGGGCGGAAAAATAACCCGAAAACAGGCCGAAAAATGGGCCAAAAATGGGCTGAAAAAGAAGCTGAAAACAGGCCAAAAAACGGGCCAATAATGGGCTGAAAAAGCCAAAAATGGGCTGAAAACGGGCTCAAAAATAAGCCAAAAACAGGCTGAAAACGGACCGAAAATGGGCTGAAAAATAAGCTGAAAACAGGCTGAAAACTGGGCTGAAAATGGGCCAAAAATGGGGCCAAAATGAGCTGAAAAACAGGCCAAAATTGGGCTGAAAACTGGGTCCAAAACAGGCCGAAAAATAGGCCAAAAACAGGCCACACAGTCAGTTTTTGGCCAGCAGAGTGCTACAAAAGGCCATAGAGGGTGAAAATGAGGCGCGGGGGTGGCGCACGCAGACACACACACCCCCGTGCCCCTTTTTGGCTGGCAGGGTGCTTCAGGAGGCATCCGTCCTGCCACCCCAGACACACACCCGTGGCCCCTGTGGGCCGCAGAGGAAAACTACAATGCTAATCCAGTCCTCGAAGTAATCCAGTTTGGCACCCCTGGACTAACAGTTAAAAGAATACTTTTTAACATGGGACTTCTTTTACCAGTGGCTAACTCACAGGAACAAGGAAACTAAAAAGAGAATAAAAAATGTTTGCATTGAACATTTTTCAAGAGGGATTAAACTGATTGTATGATTACTTTGTGATTAGTATCGACACATTTACTAGGATTATTATTATGATTATTGTTAGATCTCTACTAAAACTAACTGCCCAGACAGCACGTTGTTCAGACAGATATGGAACTTTTTATGTTTAATTAAAAAATGTATTAATAAAACACACACATATATAAAAAAAGGATTAAGTTCAGGGAGAGGTCCGAATCTAAGAGGGGCTGAAAAATGGATTGTGTGCTGCAAACAACAAACCCGAGAAGTTGGCTTGAGAATGAGGGACATCCCCTGAGTTAAGCACAGAAGACGGAGCAAATATTTGCAACTCCATGGTGTAGTAACTCAAGTCTGGCAGCCTTGACCTTTGTGGACGGACAACGAAGGATGCAAAATCTTATTGAAGAAAGACAGAGGGATTGTCTTGTCCAGCCTTGTCCGTTGTTGTTTTTTTGGAATATATGTAATTTGTATTAGAAATTGGGGATAAAAGATAAAGTGAAAAGGTATAAAAGAAAGCTAAGAAAAAGAAGATTCAAGAAAAATGAACTGTACAGGCAGGCCTCAATTTATAACTATTTAGTTAGCAAAGTTACAAAAACACTGGAAAAAGGGACATGATCAGTCCTCGCACTTGTAACCCAACAGTCATTGTGACCCACACAGTCTCGTGAGCAAACTTCAGTTTCTCTCTCTCTCTCTCTCTCTCATTTGTATTTATATTGGCTATCAATCATCTATTTATCATCTGTATCTGTCTGTCTCTATCTCTATTATCTGTCTCCATCCGTCGTTATCTTTCTTTCAACTATTTCTATCAACTATTAATCATCTATTTATCATCTGTATCTGTCTATCTATCTCTATCAATGATCTTTCTCTCCATCCATCCTTATCTATCTATCATCTCTCTATTTATTTCCCCTATCAATCATCTATTATTGTATGTGTTTCTGTCTGTCTGTCTGTCTGTCTGTCTGTCTGTCTGTCTATCTATCTATCTATCTATCTATCTATCTATCTATCTCTATCATCCCTCTTTCCTCACTTCATATCTATCTATCTATCTATCTATCTATCATCCCTCTTTCTCTCACTTCATCTATCTGTCTGTCTGTCAATCTATCATCCCTCTCTTTCTCTCACTGCTTCTGTCTATCCATCCATCATCTCCCTCTTTCTCTCACTTCATCTATCTGTCTGTCTGTCTATCTATCAATCATCCCTCTCTTCCTCTCACTTCTTCTGTCTGTCTATCCATCCATCCATCCATCCATCCATCGTCCCTCTTTCTCTCACTTCTTCTGTCTATCCATCCATCCATCCATCCCTCTCTTTCTCTCACTTCTTCTATCTGTTCATCCATCCATCCATCCATCCATCCATCCATCATCCCTCTCCTTCTCTTACTTCTTCTGTCTGTCCATCCATGCATCCATCCATGCATCCATCCATCCATCCCTCTCTTTCTCTCACTTCTTCTATCTGTTCATCCATCCATCTGTATTCAGAATAAGGCGGGGGGGGGCAGGGCAAATGGGGGTGTATGTGTCCCAAGCGCCCAACTGCTGCCTCGCGCCCCCCCGGGGGAAGCCCAGACTTTCGGGGGGTGGGGGTGGGCGGGGCAAGCCTCCCCGCCCCCCCCCCGCTCGCGCCCCGGCTTGGCGCGCGTCACAGCCCGCCCTACCCAATAGCGTCGGGGATTCCTCGCCGGGCCACGCCCCCTTCCCCCTTCTAGCTTCACGTGGTCGTGGGACCAGGGCTGTTGCCGACGCCCGCTGCTTCTCCTTGCCGCCTCGGGCGGGTTGGTTGGGCGGCTTGGCCGTTGGAGGACCGGCGGTGGGAGCTGCGTGGTTCTCTCCCACCCCATGGCCGAGGCGACCCCGCCGAGATCGTGATGGAGGAACCGGCTCGGAACCCGCCGCCTTCCCCTCCGCTCTCGGCTTCCCGTTGCGCCCGCAGCCTCCGCCGCCTTCTGCCCGTCGGCGCTTGGCAGGAAGCCCGGGAGCTGATCAAGATCGGAGGGCCCGTGGTAAGCAAGGATCGGGGAAGGGAAGGAGTTGGGGTGGGTGTGTGGGGATACACCGTCCGGCCTCGAGTTCGTACGTTCACACGACCCGCTGGTTATACACGTGTCAATTGGGGTTGGGAGGGAGATAAACTCGCCCCGTTTTATCAGTTTCTTCGTTCACACCACCTGCGGGATTTTACACGTGTTAATTGGGATCAGGACGGGAATAAAGTTTTAGGTTCGTTCGTTCACACGATCCGCCCGGATTATACACGTTTATTTCAGCTGGGAGGGAAATAAACTCGCCCCGTTTTATCAATTTGTTGTTCACACGACCCACCGGATTATACACGTTTATTTCAGCTGGGAGGGAAATAAACTCGCCCCGTTTTATCAATTTGTTGTTCACACGACCCACCAGATTATACACGTTTATTTCAGTTGGAAGGGAATTAAATGCTCTTCTTTTTGGCTTTGTTCGTTGGTTCACACGACCCGTTGGTTTAAGCATGTTTATTTCAGATGAGAGGGAAATAAACTCGTCCGGTTAGTTCGTGAGTTCACTCGATCTGAATGATTATCCCTGTTTATTCCTGCTGGAATGAAATTAAATTCTCTCCATTTTAGCTTCATTCTTTCATTCATATGATCTGCCAGATTATACACTTGTTTATTTCAGCTGGAAGGAAATCAAATTCTCTCCATTTTTAGCGTTGTTCGGTCATAGGACCTGCTGGATTATACATGTTTATTTCATCTAAAATGGAAATAAAATTGCCTCAGTTGCTTCATTCACACAACCAGGCAGATTAAGCGGGTTTGATTTTTTGCCTGGATGGAAATCAACATTTCCTGGTTTTGCTTCGTTCTTTCGTTCACGTGACCAGAACCCGCCAAATAAATGGAATTATATGGGCTGGGAATGGAACTAAACTCTCCCCATTTTAGCTCTAGGTTGTGTGAATGAATTCATCCCCACCCTTTCCTGTCCATAAGTGATGTGTGAGGATCCTTTTATCTGAAAATCCCGGGAATCTGGCACTAATCCTTAAGCGAATCTGTCTTCTTTGGTGGGCTTTCCTTGTCAGACGGTCGCAAAAATAGGGGATCACATTCCCCGGGACTGTCATAAATAGGAACTAGTTGCCACGCGTCTGAATTTTTGATCCCGGGATCGTGGGGATGCTGGAATGGTCATAAGTGTGAAAAAGTCCTTTTTTAAAGTGCCGTTGTAAATTTGAACGGTCGCTAAATGAACGGTTTTAAGTCAAGGACTATCTGTATGGAGTGGGAAGAGGGGTTGGAGGCTTGTCCTTTATTTTTTGGCTATCTTACTTTTTTTCCTGACATAATATTTTTTTTATAGGCTGTTTCTTGGATTTTGTCCTTTTTACTCCCATAGTTTCTGGCCTCTGATAACGTTGAGCTGATAACGGAAACCTTGATTGAGTGAAAAAAAGGACCAAAGTCTCTTTTTTATGACTCCCTTGTTTCTTATTTCTCCATCTCTCTTTTCCCCATTCTTTTTCTTCAGCTCCTACAGGGGCCTCTTTCGAATGACAAGACAAACATTGGCCAGTCATAAATCAAGGTTCCTACAAAAGATTAGATTAGATTAGCCGGATACCCGTGCTTTTCTATGAAATTATGTGATTGGCCTTAGTTTTGGGGGAAGAAAATAAGGAAAAAATAATTCTGCCTTTGCCTACCAGCTTCTATCGGTATTCATCTGGCTAGCGTCCTGTCAGTGTGTGAGAGAGTTGAGGGCTGTTTGGAAACTGGAAGAGTATTTGCTGTGTGAGCAAGAAGGAGACAGCAAGGAGCCTGGGCATGGCTTAGCTCAACTGTTCTGTACTAAAGATGCTTTGGTGCTTTGAAAGTGAAACTCCTCTCCGCTTGTGTTTTGCAGATATTTCTTTTCAGGTGGGGAGGGGGAGTAGAACTCGTTAGCATTACAGCATGTTAATAATAATAATAATTAATAATAATAATAATATAGGAAATACTAATGCTCTGGTGGTCATTTCACAAAATCTTTTCTTAGTGAGCACCTAGAAGCCAAGAGGAACATACGTGCCACATTTCAAGTTTGTAGATGCGTGAGTGGTCTTTCGCTTTTATATATGTAGATTAACAGAGTTGGAAGGGAACTTGTGGGTCATCTAGTCCAACCCACCGTCCAAGTAGGAGACCCTACACTGTTTCTGACAGATGGCAGTCCAGTCTCTTCTTGAAAGCCTCCAGGGATGAATGAATGCATGAATGAATTCTTTATTGGCCAAGTGTGCTTAGACACACAAGGAATTTGTCCTTGGTACATATGCTCTCAGTGTACATAAAAGAAAAAATACATTCCTCAAGAGTCAAGAATCATCAGATACACCACTTCATAATAGTCATGGGGTACCAATAAGCAATCAAATCATACTAGGAAACAGTCAATAAAAATCATAAGGATACAAGCGACAAAGTCACAATCATACAGTCACAAGTGGGAGGAGATGGGTGATAGGAACGATGAGAAGATTAATAGTAACAGTAATGCAGACTTTGTAAATAGTTGACAGTGTTGAGGGAATTATTTATTTTAAAAGATGGGTGGACTTCAACTCCCAGAATTCCCCAGGCAGCACGCTTTAAGGTGAGGGGCCAGCTCCCAGAATGGACTTCCGTTCCCAGAATACCATCTATCTTAAAGCATTCCGCTGGAGGATTCTGGGAGTTGAAACCCACCCATTTTAAAGTTGCCAAGACTGAGAGATACTATCGACTGGCATTCTTAAAGAGTTCTTGTATCTGTGGGACAGTATCCCTCTCCACAAGCAACTTCCTGATGCGCGTACCTGTTATAAATCCATTCTCCATTTGGGACGGGTTTTCCAATTCCCCGGAATTTACGGCAAGCTTTTCCTCTGACCTGAAGCTGGAAATGGCAAGCCGTTCACCCTTGGGCATCACGAAACGTGTTGTAACTCGTCCCCAAACTTAATCCAGTGCGAGCAACTGATGTTCCCGTTTTTTTTCCCACCGGCGGCCAGAGAATTTTATTTCTCGGTGTTATGGAGTAGGCGAGATTCCCTTCTTCCTAACTGAGCCGGTCTTTGTTCTTTGCCGGACAAGAAGGATCTCACTCGTGGTCAGGAGATCATCACCTGATAATATCCAGCTTTGATATCTCCCAGAATTGCTCCAGGCGGAAACATTTCCTGGGTTGAGTTTGAAGGAGAAGGACTGAGTTCAGAAGTCGACGCGTCTTGAGTTTGGGGGAGATTGTCCTGGGGTCTGCCTTAGTTAGATTACCCTGTTTCCCCAAAAATACGGCCTACCCTGAAAGTAAGTCCTAGCTTGATTTTTTTACACGTGTGCTCAATATAAGCCCTACCCCCCAAAATAAGCCCCAATTAAGGTCCCGCCCACTCCAGAGTGGATGGGAAAAAATTAAGCAGGATGGCGATCGGGGGTGTGTGTGGAACTGCCCGACTACTTACCTTTGGACAGTTGTAGCCGGGCTTTGTACCCTACAACACCTGCTTTATTGGCCCATTTCTTCTGCAGCCGGCAAGGCTGGTAAGGCTTTCCTGAAGGCCTCTGGAGCTGATAACAAAGCTCAGGATCGATCCAGAGCTCACTTATCGGCTGCAGAGGCTTTCAGGAAAGCCTTGCTGGCCGCAGAAGAAGTAGTTCCTGAAGGCCTCTGACCGCGAAAAGGAGGCCAGGGGTGATGCATGCAAGTGAGGTTATCAGTGGATGACGTCCCCCCAAAATAAGACCTGGTGCCTTTTTTGGGTGGCAAAAAAATATAAGACAGGGTCTTATTTTTGGAGAAACTTCCTTTGGGGAAGGAAGACCTTTGAGGTGCCTTCCAACTTTGCTAGTACAGATAGTGTTACTCCGTAGGAAAGAACGATCCTTGATTCCATGAGAGAAAGGGTACTTTTATGATCAATCCGTGGAACAGAAGCTGCCTTCGGAAGTTGTGGGAGCTTCACCACTGGAAGTTTTTAAGAAGAGATTGGACGGCCATGTGTCAGAAATGGTGTAAGTAGGGTCTCCTGCTTGGGCGTTGGGTTGGACTAGATGACCTACAAGGTCCCTTCCAACTCTGTTTATCTGTCTGTTAAAGAGTAGAGTAGAGTGGAATAGAATAGAAATAAGAATAGAGTAGAAGTAGAATAGAATTAGAATAAGGAGTAGAATAGATAAGGAATAGAATAGAATAGAATTAGAATAGAATTAGAATAAGGAATAGAATAGAATTAGAATAAGGAATAGAATAGAAAATATGGAATTGAATGGAATAAAGAATAGAATAGAACAAACAGCGTTCGGAAATTGTGGGAGCTTCACCACTGAAGAAGAGACTGGACTGCCATCGGTCAGATAGGGTGTAGGGTTTCCTGCTTGGGCAGTGGGTTGGACTAGATGACCTACAGGGTCCCTTCCAACTCTGTTATTCTCTTATTATTCTGTTACTAGAGATGTTGAGTGCAGCATGAATGAGGCAAGCTCTGAAGAAAAACCGGGCCCAAATCATATGCAGGTAGCCCTCACCTTACGACCACAGTGGGATCCCAAATTGACGTCACTCAGTGAGACGTTTGTTAAGGGAAATTTTGTCCCACTGTACAACCCTCCTTGCCGCCGTTGTTCAGCGAATCACTGCCGGTGTCAGGCGAGTAACACCGTTGTTAAGTGAATCTGGCTTCCTCGTTGGCTTAGGCTTGTCAGAAGGTCGCGAAAGCGGATCACGTGACACCCCCCCCTCCAGGACACGGCTACCGTCATAAATGTGAGTCAGTTGTCGAGATCAGAATGTAAACCACGTGGCCTTGGTCTTAAGTGTGAAAAATGGTCTTAAGTTACTTTTTTCAGCAATAGGAAGGGAAGAGAAGGAGAAGAGGAGGAGGAGGAGGAGGAGGAAAGGAAAGAAGGAAGGAAGGAAGGAAGGAAGGAAGGAAAGAAAGAAAGAAAGAAAGAAACCTTAGAGGTCTACTAATCCAAACCCCTACTCAAGCAGGAAACCCTATATCAATGATGGCGAATCTTTTTATTGTGTGTCTGCTGAAAACGCGTGCGTGCCGGCACCCACAATTGAATGCACCTCACCACCACTACCCACGCATGCGCATGCAACACCCCCGCTTCCTTACCTGTGCTTCCCGGCTGATTTTCAGCCCACTTGAGGCCATTTTTGCCCTCCTGGAGGCTCGAGGGAAGACTGCAGCCTCGGGAGGCCGAAAAGGGGGCTTTCTGGAAGTGTCCGTTTTCAGGCGCTGGAGCCCGGAGGAGGCCATTTTGGCCCTCCCAGTGGCTCGAGGGAAGCCTCGGGAGCCTCTGGAGGCTGACCACGGGCCCATTTCGACACTTCTGGTATTTCTGGAAAGGCCATTTTTTCAGCCTTTCGAGATTGCAGAGGCTTCCTTTGAGCCTCCAGGAGGGCGAAAGCGGCCTCAAATGGGCCAGAAACCAGCTGGGAGACATGCGCAGGTGCAGTGCAGGTAAGTTTGGCGGGGGAACGCGTGCCCGCACCAATGGCTCTGTTTGCCACCTGTGGCACGCCTGCCATAGGTCCGCCGTGACGGTCCGATATCATTTCAGACCAGTGGCTGTCCAGTCTCTTCTCAAAAACCTTTAGCGACGGAGCACCCACAACCGATGTGGCCGGCTGTTCCACGGGTTGATTGTCCTCACGGTTAGAAAGCTTCTCCTTCATTCCAGGTTGCTTCTCTCCTTGATTAGTTTCCATCTGTTGCTTCTTGTCCTGCCTTCTGGGGCTCCGGAGAGTAGGACGTTGCTTCCCTAACTTTTGTTCTCCTTTCCTAACTCCCCCGTTTCGCCCTTTAGCAGGGACAAAGTTCAAGCACCTAGATCGGATGTCTCGCATAAAATACGCCGAGTGGAGATTGCATAAACCGGCTTCGTCCAGCTGGGTGTCGCTTATCTTGGACTCTTTCGCTTCAGTACAAAACGCGCCAAGCCAAAGCTTGCATTCCCAGGTTCCGAGAGCCAGATCAAACTCTTTGGGACCAAAAGACACAAAGAGTGTTTGTCTGGCTCAGAGGACTGCAGACCTCAAGGGGAGAGAGAGAGAGAGAGAGAGAGAGAGAGAGAGAGAGAGAGAGAGAGCTCCTGATATGCCCAGCGCTCGCTTTGATTGGCAGGAGTTGACCCTTAAGTAGGGCACGATGAGTGTGGAGCATTGCACAAGCAGAGTGATAGGCAGAAGTGAAAATATTTTGCAACACTTGTCATCTGTCCATCTATTCCTCCCTCCATCCTTCCTCCCCTTCATCCCTCCACGTGTCCAACTATCCACCTATCCATCCGCCTACCTACCTGTCCGTCCGTCCATCTGTCTATGTATCCCTACATCCATCCACCCTCCACCCATCAATTTGCCTATCTATCCATCCACCCTTCATCCCTCCTTCCATCCACCTACATATCCATCCACCCATCTACCTACCTTCGATATAGCTACCTACTCATCCGTCCGTCCATCTCTCTCTCTGTCTACATATCCCTGCATCCCTCCATCCATGTATCTACCTATCCACCCCTCCCTCCACCCCTCCCTCCCTCTATGTGAGGACCCAAAGGGGCGTGGTACAAAAGCAACAAAGTCGCAAAAAATAGGTAAAGTCCCTTTAATACCTCCAACTTGGCCCCCAATGTCCAGTTATCTTCGGCCGGAGAAAAGAAAACTATCCCAAGAACCGTCTTTAAAGGGAAGAAATACAGTCCGAACCAAAAGCGCATATAAATTATAAATAAAAACCAACACAAAGCAATTAATGAGACAGGGCAGGATAAGGAATAGCAGACTTCAAAAGATAGAACCCAGATAAGACTTGAGAAACAAAGATAATTCATGCTTTGCGTCCAGCAAGGTGCTGTGCGCAAACACCCTTTATATCCTGTTTTCCCAGCTGCAGCTAATGAAGGGGATCATGGCCCTTTCCTCCCCCATAAGCCAGGTTTCTCCCTTCTCCATTCCTCTCTGCGTGCCTTAGGATGAAGAGGGGGTGGGCCTGGGTCTTCGTCCCCCAGTTTTCTCCACAGTCAGTGGAGCCACACTCCCATTCCCCGTCAGCTGCTCAACCTCCCCCTTGGAAACAATTCCAACAGGGGCATAACACTCCACCTATCCATCCAACTGCATATTCTTCCATCTATCTACCTATGTATAATATACCCATCTATCTATCCATTTGTCTCTCTGTCTACATATTCCCCATCCAACCATCCATCCATCTATTTATCTACATATGTATCTGTCTGTCTCCTTATCCATCTATCCATCTGAATGTCCGTCCGTCCCTCTCTATCTGCTTATATACTTACCTGTTTATGTATCATAGTAACTCGATACCTGTGCTTCGCTACAAAACTATGTGATCGGGCTTAATTTTTTGGGAGGAAAATAAAGAAAAACTAATTCTGCCTCTGCCTATCAGCATCCATCGGTATTCATCTGGTTAGCGTCCTGTCAGTGTGTGAGGCTGTTTGGAAACTGAAACAGTATTTGGTGTGTGAGCAAGAAGGAGGCAGCAAGGAGCCTGGGCATGGCTTAGCTCAACTGTTCTGTACTAAAGCTGCTTGGTACTATGAAACTAAAACTGAAACTGAAACTCCTCTCCTTTGCTTGGGTTTTACATTTGGAACAGATTTCTTTTCAGGTGGGGAGGGGGAGTAGAACTCCTTAGTGTCAGAGCGTGTTAATGATAATAATATAGGAAATACTAATAGCTCTAATGGTCATTTTGAAAAATCCTTTCTTAGCGAGCACCTGGAAGCCAAGAGGAACATAGGTGCCAAAGTTTCAAGTTTGTAGGCTTTACGGTTCTGGAGATTTTGTGATGATGCGTGAGTGGTATTTCGCTTTATAGATTAAATTGAATGAATGAAACCTTTGGTGCAGTTTTGGGTTTTGGGTTCTGGGTTTATATATATAAGATAGATAGATAGATAGATAGATAGATAGATAGATAGATAGATAGATAGATAGATGAAGATAGAAGAAAATTGGGATATTGAATTTAGCACCTGGAAAATGCTTGAATTCCCCCCATCAGCACCACACACGGTATTTCCACAACTATCTGGGCCCTTTGCACTGAACTTTAGCAAGTTATCATCGGGCTGAAGAACCATTTTCCACGACATTTGAAACCAGAAAGTAAAGGGCCAAAAGTAAAAATGGCAGATTATTGGAAACTCAGAATGACAAGGTGGTTAAGGGCAGGTGTCCAAAAGAACACAGGATCACAGCGTTCCCATATTTGAGGGGCTGCCCCAAAGAAGAGGGGAGTCAGCCTATTCTCCGAAGCATCTGAAGGCTGGACAAGAAGCAACGGATGGAAATGAATCAAGGAGAGAAGCAACCTAGATTGGAGGAGAAATTTTCTGACAGAACAATTAATCCGTGGAATAATTTGCCTCCAGAAGTTGTGGGTGCTTCACCACGGGGGGTTTTTAAAGAAGAGATTGGACAACAGAGCTGTGGCACACAAAGCCATTTGTGCAGGCACACGAGCCCCAGCCAAAGTTATCTGCACTGCTCATGCGCGCGCCTCCCAGCTGGTTTTTGGCCCGTTTGAAGCCTTTTTCGGCCTCCCAGAGACTCAAGAGAAGCCTCTGCAGCCTTTGGAGGCCAAAAAACGGGCCAGTTTCGTCACCTCCAGTACTTCCGGTTTCATCACTTCCGGTATTTGGAGGCTGAAAAACGGGCCCGTTTTTCGGCCTTCAAAGGCTGCAGAGGCTTCCCTCGACCCTTTGGGAGTCC